TCAGACTCTGGTTCTGGTCAGACTCTGGCTCTGGGTCAGACTCTGGTTCTGGGTCAGACTCTGGTTCCGGGTCAGACTCTGTCTCCAACATGTAAGGCTGGATGGACAAGGCTCTGTTTTTGACATATTTAAATTAAATTGTAAATAAAACATTTCTGCACTGCTAGAAAATGCTAACCCACCCTCTTAAGCCGGAGTGGACCGGTCTGGAAGCTGGAGGGGGCGGGGCTTGGAGTGTGTTAAAGGAACAGCATCAAAATGAGCTGCTTTGAGACACATGTCAGAAAAGAGGGGCTGGCAAAGGTAGAGTCAGGAGGAACAAAGCATTGCAGTCCAGTTTATAAAGACCGAACTGAAGGATTTAAATGTAAAAAGCACAGATTTAAAAGCAGGATGTGTTTATTTTAACTTTTCTCTCAGAACCTGATCGAACATTTCAACCACAGCTTGTGTTCATCTCTGAAGTTCACATTCACTTGTTGTTTTTGCCACTGCAACAAGTTTGTGACATTTAATAAATGCTACTGGGTACCCAGTGTAAAATAAAATGTAAAATTATGTCACCAGTACTTTTTCATTACTTAGCTCACTTTGAGTGTTAAAAATTTTCCACTGATGTTTTATTGTCATTTTGCTCACTGCTCTTACATTTTACTAACTTTTACTAAACGTTCAGTTTAAATGTTACGAGTGACGACTTTCTACTTCTTACCTTTTAAAAAATGTAGTGAGTAGAAAGTACAGATAATTGTGTAAAAATGTAATGAGTAAAAGTAAAAAGTACGCTGAAAAATGTTTACTCAAGTAAAGTACAGATAACCAAAATTTCTTCTTAAGTACAGTAACAAAGTATTTGTACTTCATTACTTTACAACGCTGGTCGGGCCTCGCAGTGCAAAAAGGCCTGAGAAGATGTGGATGTGATTGTGGGAGGGATTAAATTAGGAGCAGCTAAATAAAACTGATCATGTGTGTGGTCTCCATGTTGATCCTGTAAACAGGAGACGGGTCGGTGCAGCTTTGTTGGACTTTGTGTTTAAACAGTTTTACAGCAGCTTCCTCCTTCGTTCACATCTCCTCCTCCAGTTTACTTCTCCTCACTGCTGGTTTGATGCGACGCTCCTCCTCTGTCTGTCCTGTAAATCATGTGAGCCGTCCCGACCTCTCTTGTTTTTATGGTGACAAGAGTGATGTTTTTTTTTCATATATATAAATGTGTCACGCAGCTATTCCCAGCTGTCGAGGGAATAAAAAGACTCCAAAAAATAATCAGAGCCAGACTCAGACACAAATAAAACACATGGGTTTGAAGCAAAGGCCCTGCATTCCAAAACGACAGAAATCTTTTTCGTTTTTTGTATCCTGTTGATATTTCAGACGTTTTGTCTTATTTTTACACTTACATTTGTGATTGTTTAAAGTTGTAGCTGCTGCGAGTAAAACTCTTTGGTTTTCTTCATTCAACTTCCAACTTTAAGGATTTTTTATTTATTTATTTTTTTAGTGGAGAGGCTCCAAGTTTGGATGTACACTACAGAAACTGTCCATCTTACCAAGTTTTAAAATCTTATATCAGCAAAAACATCTTTTTGATCTTGTTTTCAGACTGATTTACTAAACAAGAACTGATTGTGTAAGAATAATCATCTTGTTTTCAGAATGTGTAAGATTATTTGTCTTGTTAGTCTGAAAATTTGACTCTAATTAAGTCAAACATTTCTGCCAGTGGAGGAAGAACATTTTACTTGGTGAGATTCTTATAAGAAAAAATTGAGTCAAATCAAATATTTCAAGAATCTTACCAAGTAAAACTTTCTTCCTCCACTGGCAGAAATGTTTGACTTAATTAGAGTCAAATTTTCAGACTAACAAGACAAATAATCTTACACATTCTGAAAACAAGATGATTATTCTTACACAATCAGTTCTTGTTTAGTAAATCAGTCTGAAAACAAGATCAAAAAGGCTTTTTAGCTGGATATAAGATTTTAAAACTTGGTTAGGTGCACAGTTTTTGCTGTGTTGAAGAGGTTTTACAACAACAAGAACAAGAACAAGAACAAGAACAACAACAACAACAACAACAACAACAACAACAACAACAACAACAACA